TGCTTTTGTGTTCTTTTATAATATTCATAATATGCATAACATCATATGATCATAACATGCTTTATTAATAAAATACAACTGCTGTGCGAAAGTGGTTGACTGGAAGGGCCGAATGTAAGACGGGCCTGCGTGCCCAATTTGTGACCCTTTGAAAATAAAGTTCGTTCGTTCGTTCGTTCGTTAGTTCTATCTATCTCTGTTCCTCCCTCTCTCTGTTTCTTTCTATCTTTCTCTTTCTCTCTATCGCTCGCACTTTCTCTTTCGCCTTTGATCTTCTGTGACACGATGATAAATCATCTAACATCTGTCTTTACCATTCTGTGTCTCTCAGCCCTCCACCTACATCTCTCTCAGACAGCCCTCCACCTACACCTCTCTTAGACAGCCCTCCACCAACACCTCTTTCAGACAGCCCTCCACAAACACCTCTCTTAGACAGCCCTCCACCTACACCTCTCTTAGACAGCCCTCCACCAACACCTCTCTTAGACAGCACTCAACCTACACCTCTCTTAGACAGCCCTCAACCTACACCTCTCTCAGACAGCCCTCCACAAACACCTCTCTTAGACAGTCCTCAACCTACACCTCTCTTAGACAGCCCTCCACCAACACCTCTCTTAGACACCCTCCACCAACACCTCTCTTAGACAGCCCTCCACCAACACCTCTCTTAGACAGCCCTCAATCTACACCTCTCTTAGACAGCGCTCAACAAACACCTCTTAGACAGCCCTCAACCTACACCTCTCTTAGACAGCCCTCGACCAACACCTCTCTTAGGCAGCCCTCCACCAACACCTCTCTTAGGCAGCCCTCCACCAACACCTCTCTTAGACAGCCCTCGACCAACACCTCTCTTAGGCAGCCCTCAACCTACATCTCTCTTAGACAGCCCTCCACCAACACCTCTCTCAGACAGCCCTCAACCTACACCTCTCTCAGACAGCCCTCCACCAACACCTCTCTCAGACAGCCCTCCACCAACACCTCTCTCAGACAGCACTCAACCTACACCTCTCTCAGACAGCCCTCCACCAACATCTCTCTTAGACAGCCCTCAACCTACACCTCTCTTAGACAGCCCTCAACCTACACCTCTCTCAGACAGCCCTCCACCAACACCTCTCTCAGACATCCCTCAACCTAAACCTCTCTTAGACAGCCCTCCACCAACACCTCTCTTAGGCAGCCCTCCACCTACACCTCTCTTAGACAGCCCTCAACCTACACCTCTCTCAGACAGCCCTCCACCAACACCTCTCTCAGACATCCCTCAACCTAAACCTCTCTCAGACAGCCCTCCACCAACACCTCTCTCAGACAGCCCTCAACCTACACCTCTCTTAGACAGCCCTCCACCAACACCTCTCTTAGGCAGCCCTCCACCTACACCTCTCCCAGGACATACTCAAGTGTTCTCTTCCCGTTGTCTTTAGACCAGTGATGTCCAAACTTAGGCGCCGCCTCCCTCTATGGGAGGGGGGAGGCGCATTGAAGTTTCAAAGGGTGTCAAGCACTTACGAGACTAATATTTCGTTACGCCAACATTTTGTTTTAGTTTAATAATAAATACACATTTTAAAAAACTATTTATTAAAACAACAATGTTTCCTGAGCAGTTTGTACATCTAGTGTTTAAAACTAAATGATGTGATAACACGCGCATTTAATTAAAGATTAAAAACATATTTAGACCAAAATGTATCTCCATACTTTCTGTTTCACTTGTTGCGGAAACGACTGACCTCTTTTAAATCACATTTTGTTATGTTGGGGGACGGGAGGGGGGGGGCGTTGAGGTTCTGTCCATATACCTGAGGTGGTGTGGGGGTATTGTCATTTCCTCAAGGTGGGGCGGGGGTGGGGGGGGGATATTGCCACATACTCAAAGGGAGAGGGTGTCTTACCATAAACTCATGAAAAAGGGGGGGGGGGAGTACTCAACCTGAAAAAAGGTTGTAGACCACTGCTCTGGAACAAAAGGTTGAAGAAAATGAAGAAAAATAAATGCAGCGATGAAAGCTGAAAGGGAAAGACGCACATGAAGTCCTCCAAAGTGGACAAATAAAAGCGAGAGACCTAAATTATTTTAGAACCATTACAGTTAATCTCCATTTGATGTGAAAGAGACAGCAGTTGACTGGTCGATCACTTCGATCTATCCATAAATAACTTTATTAATTGATTGATGAGTTGATTGATTACTGGGTCGGTCGGTCGATCAATTAATTGCATGATTGATTTATATTTGAAACAAAATTTGGCTTAGCCATATATATATATATATATATATATATATATATATATATATATATATATATATATATATATGTATATATATATATATATATATATATATATATATATATATATGTCTGTATATATAACACAAAAATACAAACATTATACTGGCAAAGGCATGCTGGGGGCAATATGTTTCCGTCGCTATTCAGCTCTCCTATTGTGTTATTATCCTAGTGAAAGAATATGGTTTTGTTATCAAAGTAACATAAAAGCCAAAAATTAGAATCGGTGGTCTTGGCCGGTTAAATCTTTATACCGTTTCTACGTTCTCAAAGAAGGTCTCATTCTAAACTCTAACTTACTTCTCCTTGTCTCAGCTCCTGGAATGCCTGGCTGAGTTAAATCAGCAAGATATCTCTGGAACGGCCCCTTATGTTTTCTTTGTATGAAATACTTTTCAGTGTCTCTAATATTTCTGCGGTCTATCGCCTGTATGGTCGATATCTGGATCTGTTACCGCTGTATCTGTATGAAATTGCTTTCTATGGTGCCTTGTCTGATGCCAGTCCATAACTTAAAACAAAGTTTATTCCTTTAGTTAATGTAACTTGAAGCGATGGGGCATCTTTAGAAATCACTACAAAAATGACGTGGCTGGGTCTGATAGATCTGATACGAGAGCAAAAAAAGACGTCCAAAAAGGAAAGTATTGACCAAATTAAAGATAGTGTTGTTTCACATGGAATAACAAAAGTCAGTGCCACACATTTTGTTTTTGTTTTGTTTTAGTATCCAGAAGCCATGAGTTGTTAACCCTTAGGCTCGGTATAATGGATATCGCAACCTTTCGGCCTTGATTCCATTGGAAATACCGTAAATCTGGAAGAAAATGTGGCTTTCCTACCCACCCCCGGGATTGAACCCGGTCGACAAGGAGTTCGTCACCCGGTCTCCGTTTTAGCCAACTACGCTAGATAGCCGGGCAGTGCCACACATAAAGCTCCTGACTAAACAAGTACACCTCCCCATAAAGCTTTAGGGTTGATGTGGAAGATAATGACGATGTTGAAGATGGTGATGAGGGGAGGAGGATGATGGTTCTTGTAGGTAGTAATGTCATGAGTAAACCATGATTGGGTCATTACTTTCCTGGTGGAGGGCTGGGTTTTTTTTTTTTTTTTTTGTTGTTGTTTTGTTTTGTTTTTTAATGTTTTTGGCATATATAATTTTGCTATTATTATGCTCTCATTTTTGTAGATTATTCCAGAAGAAGCTAGTTTCGGCAGTCTCGATTACAATGGTGCTTTTCGCTGCCGTTTCTGGCAGTTCGGCAAGTGGGTGGAGGTTCGGATCGACGATATGCTGCCTACCGTTGATGGGAAACTTCTGTTCTCCAGGTCGTCGAACCCCAACGAGTTCTGGGTGTCGCTTGTTGAGAAAGCCTATGCAAAGTAAGTGAGCATCAGATTTGCACGTCTTAACATTCAGTTAAAAGGTCAATAGTAATTTTTTATCTACCAACTGACACCGTTACTAGGACATCCTAACATAAGTATGGCCGGGTTTTTGTTTGTTATTTCCCAAGTATTTGTAACGATTCTGTGTTTGTTCTTTTTTGCCGAGGGAGAGAGAGAGAGGGAGAGAGAGAGAGAGAGAGAGAGAGAGAGAGAGAGAGAGAGAGAGAGGAGAGAGAGAGAGAGAGAGAGAGAGAGAGAGAGAGAGAGAGAGAGAGAGAGAGAACGTAGAAACAATGAACTTCAAACACGGAGGGAGGGTGAGAGTGCAAGAGAGAAAGAAATCGAGGAAAAGATAGAAACAGAACTAACAGTAAAATGTAAACATAGAGGAAAAGAGGCGAGCGAGAAAGATAGATAAATAGAAAGAGAGAGAGAGAGAGAGAGAGAGAGAGAGAGAGAGAGAGAGAGAGAGAGAGAGAGAGAGACCGAGAATGTGTACTTGGTGTGTGATAGAAATATGTGGGCGGATGTATTATCATATATAAAAGTATTACCGGTAAAGTTGAATAATATACAAATTCTAAATGTGGAAACCCCTTGGGACAAAACAGCTAATGAATCTGCGCATATTTTAAAAGTAAAACTTCGTTAGTCTCATGGTGCTTTGAAGGCTTACGCAGTAGAACAAAACAAATCAATAGTCAATACATTTTATTATTATGTATGAGATAATCATTGTTCCATAGCCCTAATCCCCCTACCCCTCCCCCACCCCCCCCCCCACACACACACACACACACACACATTATTTAGCTGTTTATTAGTAAACACACACAAAAATTGTATGTGGTTACTCTCTGTGACTGCGAATTGGTTTACTGCTTTCTGATTCAACTCGTTTATTTACAGTTCAGATTTTAAAAGCAATGTTTGTATTGTGTGTTATGCTCGTATATACTAATCGGACGTCTTCTATTTCATAGTAGTCGTAAAATAGCAAAGTAGTTATTTCTTAAAGAAATTCTAGTGAAATTTGACTGAAAAGCTTGACTAAACGAGGAAGCAGAAAAGTGGGGGGGGGGGGGGGAACAACACAGCCGGCAGCCTTAGTCAAACGGGAAGTTAACTACATAAAGGTATCGACGTCTCCTCGTCGACCTCGATCAAGGTTTTAGAAAAAATTCACCCCACTGTCTTTCCGACCGAGAAGAAAGTTTACGTTTGCAAAAATGATTTTTAGTGGAACCTCATGATACGAGCTTTTTCAGGATACGAGGTCAGCCTCGCAAATATTTTTGCCCTAGAATACGAGGCAAAATCCAGCATGCGGACTGGAGAAACGAGAAGTCTCGGCGTTACCCGCCTGTATCTCGATAACTTTTAAATGGATTCGGTCATGTTAACATTGACGAAGGAAAACCTAACTAACAGGTAGTTCCAGATTAGAAAGGATAGTAAGTTAGTTAGTCCACAGGTTATTCTCATTGCACTTCAAATTATTTAGTCCATAAGGGCTCCGATCCCCTGCTTTGTAAATTCCGCGGCATGAAGCGGTTCACGACACCAGTTCTGTGTTGGTTTCTTGTTTTTCTTTAGCTTGCTCTATGGTGCTCTTGTCTGGCCACGTCCTCTTTAACATGTTGTTCTTGCAGTCTGGTCATGGTTGTAGATTCAGTCTTCTCTTGGTTCTCGCTATTGTCTTACTTCTCGTAGAGTATTCGGAATATCCGCCTGGTCCATGGCTCGTCCGTCCTCCACGTGCGCACATTTTTTACCACTCATGATTTTGTTTTTGATTTGATATTCATAATATGCATGTCGCCGACGACATAGCACTCCTGAGTTCAGAACACACAGACGCCCAAGAAAAAATCAATCGACTCCAGAATTTCTCAGAACAAATTGGACTCCAAATTAAAACTGCAAAAACAAAAATTCTAGACCTCACCAACAGTTCAGTTGATATCACGCTGAACAACAACAGCCTTGAAAAAATCAACAGTGCGAGAGCTGGAAATCAACGAAAACTCTAGACACAAAATTACACAGTTTTGAAAATAAATGCCTTAGAAGAATACTAAATTTCAAATGGTCAGAATTCCGAACCAATACACAAATAAGGCAAGAATCCAGGCAAGAGTATGTGTCTAATTTTATACGAAAACGCCGCTGGAACTATGTCGGCCACGCCCTTAGAATGGATAAATCAAGAATTCCTTACCAAGCCCTCATTTGGACACCACAGGGGAAAAGATCTCGTGGAAGACCAAGGGAAACTCTACGTAGAACTATCATCAGGGAAGGCTCGCTCATGGGCTACTCAAACATTCAAGACCTACAACAGATTGCAACGAACAGCCATGCATGGATAGTCATGACCTCTGCCCTATGTGCCGCACTCGACACAAGAGGAAAGACTAACTAACTAACTAATATGCATATTATTACATGAACACAACATGCTTTCTTGATGAAATACAACTGCTGTGTGAAAGATGGGAGTTTGAAAGGGCCGAATGTAAGACAGGCCTGCGTGCCTAATGTGTCACCCTTTGAAAATAAAGTTCGTTCGTTCCTCAGCAGCTTTACCTGCAAGCCAATCAGTTTGCTCGTTTACTTGCACGCCTGCGTCTTCTGGCACAGATATGAAACTGATATGTGTGAGCGTGTCACCTACAACAATGAGCAGATTAACAAAAGAGAACAGATAGCTCACTATTAAAACAAACAATCTTGTCTATCAAGCTTGTGTAAATAAACAATCTTGTCTATCAGGCTTGTGTTCTGAGCCCTCTGCTTTATAGAGTGAAACTTGGTCAACTTTATTCGCACCAGGAGAAACGGCAAAATTGCTTTCAGATGAGATGTTTTAAAAAAAAAACTATTTGGCATTAAGTGGCAGGACAAGATCACAAACACTGTGATATTGAAAAAAGCAGGTATTACAACCGTTTTCTCAATGCTCAGTCTACGAAGGCTGAGGTGGCTGGGCCACACAGGGAGAACTGATAATGGCAGAGTTCCTAAGACCATTCTCTCTGGTGAATTAAACATGGGTAGACGATGTCAAGGCCGACCTCTGCTACGCTATGAAGATGTGTGCCTAAGGGACGTGAAAGATACAGGTACTCAGATGGACTCGTGGGAACAAAATGCCATGGACCGTAGTGTGTGGGGGTGGCACATGAAGAAGGGAATGAAAATGAAAGAAGAAATTATAGCAGAAAGGATGGGAGCTGAGCGTTTGAGAAGAAAAACACTTATTACAAATGTTGACAACAAGAATCCTGAAATGCCATTCTAACATTAGGGAAGACTTTTCTTAACACGGCCGGTCTTGCTAGTCCCACTCGCCATCACCCTGGGCTGTGAGTTCCATTCCTCCTAACACAAAACAACGCTATCGTCTGGAAAAGACGGAAATGTTCATGAATGAATAATGTGTCTTCAGCCCCAACCTATCTTTAGCTTCCTGAGCATACTCATCAAGTCACTGAGAAAACCTGCTCGGGACAAATCGTCTGTCTCCAGCCATGTTATTGCCGTGCTTACTGCCATGACTTCCATAGTCAAATAGAAAGGCATGATCGTGTACGCCACATGATGATGATGAATTGTATCATCGTAGTTCAAAGAAACCCTGTTGTCCGCTGCCTTCAAGAAGCAAAAAGTAGTACCACACTTATGTTTGAAAAAGGCTGCCCGGCCGAAACGTTACGTTGTTTTGTTTTGTGCACGTTTTTCTGCTTCCTCATTTTGTTGAGAATTTTAGTCAAATTTCTCTGAAATTCATTGTACCCGTTAGGGTAACGGAAACCATCATTCTGTTTTATATATACAGCATTAGAACGCCGGGCTTGAACCAAAAAAAGTATCTGCATTTATTTTAATGGGGAAGAAAGGTTATTCCCCCCTACGAGTTCCTTTATAGAACACATTAAATTCGTATCTTGCGGTTTAACTGTACTTTTCTTTATGTCGTGGACTTAATCATGTTTTATCCATTGGTCAGGTTGTACAAATCATATGAAGCACTAGAATATGGCTTTGAAGCGGACGCGTACACAGATCTGACTGGGGGAGTGGCTGAATGGTACATCCCATCTTACCTTAAGGAGAATGATTTCTACTTTATCCGGACAGCTTATCAGTGTGGAGCTATTATAGGATGCTTTAGTGGGGTAAGTTTGTGTCCAGCAAATGTACTTTCTATAGCGCTGTCCGTGGCTTAGGCGCTGCGAGTTCGGCTCATAACTCCATCGTACCGCGATCGAAACCCACTGCTGGCTGCGTGGATTTGTATCATGCTTTGGGGCGTCACAGGTCGCCCCCAGCCTAAAATGGGTACCAGGATGGCTGTCCTGTGGAAGTCAAGACGGCCGGCGTAATGCTGACCACATTAGCCACCTAGTCTGTACAAATATGGGATGCTCTTCCCATATGCCGATGCGCCTATGGCTTGAAAAGGGATCTTTACTTTTTTTTAAAATGTACTTTCTTCTAACAGCAGATAATATGTACAGTTGGTATCCCATTAGTGTATGTACCTTTCTGTGTCAAAATTCGTCTATACAGCTTCATCTCCCAAAACCGCGGCTTCCAATAAATTTTCAACACTCGACTGATTGTCTATGATTCTTCTCCTCACGTTGGGATACAAAATATATTTACTTACTATTAATTAAATATTCTACGACAGACTGAAAAACTGAGTGGGCGACTCTTGTACGCCTTCGGAGGTATTGAGTATGTGATGCTAGACACATAATTGTAAAGAATCATTGGTAACATGATAGATTTCATGCTGGGCGCCTTTACTTTAGATAATATTTCCTATATTTATCGTATCTTGAATCGATTAAAAGAAAGCATGTATTTGGTTGCCTAGATAAACTAGATGGATCGTGCCATGGAAGTTATAATGTAAATTAAGTTGTATGCGTGTGAGAGGGATGGCATGTCATCCGACTTTTGAATGGGTGGTGAGCTGTTATGTGATAAAGGCTCTATGGGATCAAATGGACAGGGCAATAGAACAGACAAGCAATCCCTACACTGAAAGACTAATTCAACAAGCTGGGGAAGTGGGAAAGAGGGGATGAGAGGTAGTTGAAGAGGTTCTGGGAGATATTCAACATTAAATGGAAACAGAAGCATGTCAACTTTTCGTTGGCTTATAAAGAAGGAGACGGAGCACGTGCGGGAATGTCCCGAGTGTAGTTATATTAGTTCTTAATTCATTCATGCATTCATGTTAATATTCAGTTAAATGCTCAATAATTTGTGCAATTGTTGTTTTGGTTTCAGAATCGAAGGAGGGCAAATAAACACGGCCGGAATGGAATCAATGGACCAACCTCTAGTCATTCTTATGTAGTGACTGCTGTAGAAGAGATTCCTTACATCGATAGAGCTGCCAAGCTTATCCGTGTTCGCAACCCGTGGGGGAACACACAGTGGGACGGGGAGTGGTGCGATGGGTATGGATACCTGTCTCTGTGAGCGTGTGTGTGTTTGCGTGTGTAGGAGTTGGGGGGGGGTGGGGGGGGGGTTATGAATATGATTGTGGTGTGTGAAAGTGTGGGAGGGTGCCTATTATGTCGAGTGAAGACAAACGTGTCAGTTGTTTTGGGCAATTGTTATCTGTTGTGTCAGTATGTAGAGACATAATGATTCATGGTTATTTAGAACTACAGAGAAATGTTGAAAAAATGTTGAGATCTTTTCAGTTTCTTGATCATACGACTCCACTTTCGATGTTTAGACTGATAACCGGGACATGACAGTCGGAACATGACAGTCGGGACATGACAGTCGGGACATGCCTCTAAACGCTCTGTCTGTGTTTGTTATGCTAACCAGTCTTCTTCTTCTTCCGTCACACAAATTATTGAGTCTTGATTCTTTCTTGAAAAATACAAAAACCTTCTGTAATCGAACAATCAAAAGAAAGCAGTGATAAACTTGCGAAGCAGATCACGATGGGACGCAGGAATCTGTTAATCAACCCTGCATGTGCGTAATTATTCGTTTTGCTCTTGTGGTGCTATTGAGGCAGACATCGCAGCACCCGTGGATCTGTCAACCGTGTTGTTATATTAGTTCTCACTACTTACTTATTTTCACCCAAGGGATATGAATACATCTAAATTGTTTCTTCCTCCTCCTCCTCTTCTTATACTTCGTCTTTCTTCTTCTTCTTCTTCTTCTTCTTCTTCTTCTTCTTCTTCTTCTTCTTCTTCTTCTTCTTCTTCTTCTTCTTCTTCTTTTCTTCTTCTTCTTCTTTCTTCTTCTTCTTCTTCTTCTTCTTCTTCTTCTTCTTCTCCTTCTTCTTCTTCTTCTTCTTCTTCTTCTTCTTCTTCTTCTTCTTCTTCTTCTTCTTCTTCTTCTTCTTCTTCTTCTTCTTCTTCTTCTTCTTAACCCTTCTCAACCCGATTCTGCTTCTTCTTCTTTATTATCTTCTTCTCTTCTTTCTCCTTCTCACCCTTCTCCTCCCGCTTCTGCTGCTGCTGCTGCTGCTTCTTCTTTTCCGTCTTCTTCTTCTTCTTCTTCTTCTTCTTCTTCTTCTTCTTCTTCTTCTTCTTCTTCTTCTTTTACTTTATTTTCTGCTTATTTTTCTTCTTATACTTCGTCTTCTTTTTCTTCTTTTTTTTTTTCTTCTTTTTCTACTTCTTCTTCTTCTTAATATTATTATTATTAATATTATTAATATTATTATTATTATTATTATTGTTCCTCTTCTTCTTCTTTTACTTCTTCTTCTTCTTCTTCCTTCTCACCCTTCTCCTCTCGCTTCTGTTTCTTCTTCTTCTTCTTCCTCCTTCTCACCCTTCTCCTCTCGCTTCTGTTTCTTCTTCTTCTTCTTCTTCTTCTTCTTCTTCTTCTTCTTCTTCGTTTTCTTCAGCCATTCTGAGCTCTTGAGGCTCATTGCTGCAGGTATACCTGCCTTCATTTATCTCTGTAACTGAACTTCTTTTTTTTTTTGGTTGGTTTCTCCACGACCGCCTCCAGCTAAAGTCGGACGTGGAACTCCAAGTGTTTGTTAGTCTGCCTGTGCATTATCTTTCCTTTTTCTTCTTAGCCTGCCTTGTAGTCTATTCAGATTTAACTCTTTTGTGTACACCGTTTTGCCTCTCTGCTATCTTCCATACTCTCTGTATATCTCAACTATTAAAGCCTAGTAGCCATTATGTTCTAGACCAGCGGTTCTCAACCTGTGGGTCGCGACCCTTTTATGGGTCTAACGACCCTTTCACAGGGGTCGCCAAAGACCATCGGAATACCCATATTCATTGAAGTAATGAAATGGCAAAAAAATAATTGTCTGTTTGGGGGGTCGTCACAACATGAGGAATTGTATTAAAGAGTCGCAGCATTAGGAAGGTTGGGAGCCACTGATCTAGCCCAACATTCTTTTTGTAAGGGGAGACGAATGGAAACGAGTGCCGGAAGTTGTCAAGAAAGAATTAGACGTGACTGCTCAGGATGAGGGAGAGTTCTGGATGTCGTACAGTGACTTCAGGAAGGAGTACTCCTGCATGATCATCTGTAACGTGTCCCCAGACTTCGACCATGACGGCATCAGCGACAAGGCTGGTGAGTCTTGCTTGTAGTATTGGTAAAAGTAGAGGACCCTTTTCCGCGCCTGCGGGCGTATTGGGTATATATTACTAAACCTATATTTTATAGATCAATCGGTACTCAGTTAATGATGAGGTCAACGTCAGGATGGCCGCCTTTATTTCCTAGGACTTTATCTGGTACCCATTGAAGACTGGGTCGACCTAGGAGCCAAGGTCATTTTTGAAGAATAAATGTCCAGCTTCGTTGGTTATTAAATCTGTGATCTTCTAATTGTATTACGAGGGAAAGTTAATAATTAAGTCACAAATGATAGGTTTAAAAAAAAACCAAGACGATAACACATTGAAACCCGTTTATTTTTACACACACACTGTCCCTTTATTTTTCAAAAAAAATCTCCACCAACATTGATGCATGTATCTCATCGTTTTCTTAGTCCTCCCAAACCTGCTGCTTAGAACTGCGTGCTCTGTTTTCTAAATCCCATTTTCACTTCGCATTCAGCTTCTGCGTCATTTGCGAAATGTCTCCCGCCAAAGCGGGTTTTCAGTGGACCAGAAAAGTAGAAATCGCCAAGGGCTAAGTCGGGGCTGTAAGGTGGATGTTCCAGAAGTTCCCACCCTAGATGGTAAGTTTTCTCCTGAGTTAACTGAGCCGTATGTAGTCTGGCGTTATCATGGAGGAGCAGTGCTCCTCTAGACAGCAGGCCTGGACTTTACCTTCGATTTGAATCATAAAGCATCAATAGAACTTTACAGTGTGAATCAGCATTCACAGTGTCACCTTTTTTTTTTCTTCTTAAAATAGGTTAAAAGCACTTCTTGAGTTTCTCAGACAGCATAACCCACCTTTCCTGCTGATAGCGTAACCTTGAAGCACGCTTTGATTCGGGCTGGTAGTGATGCACCCATGATTCGTCTCCAGTAATAAACCTGTTCAGCATGTCTTCTCCTTCATCTGCAGGCAGCCCTTTTGCCCTCACCCCTTTTTTTTTAAACGCCCAACAGCACGTTGTTCTTTGAGGGTACACTCCGTAATTACAGTCGTCATTTTATTTCTGTGTTGCGAATGCGCATGCAACCCCTAGCGCCACCTAACGAACGGAGACATAAAGTTCGATGTTGCTGTCACCTAATGACACTTTTAAAAACCACAAACTAAATTTTCCTGCCATCCTATAACAATTTGTGACTTACTTATTGACTTCTCCTC